TGAGCCTCTGCTGTACTTTGTTTAGGAGTGAGCAGCGTTGCCAGTGTGTCCAGTGACTTGTCCAGAGCTGCTAGCATTGGTGTTGACATCTGTTAAAGAACAATCAGATTGGTTGTCCTGTGTAGTTTAACTCCAGTACTGTGAGCTGGCAAGTCTTCAGAGCTTTGTGTTAAACTACAGTTTGAACAGAGTGAAGCGTCTGCATACTGTACCACTGCGTGCTGGCGTGCCCTGGAGGCGTGGTGCTTAGTTTTGTGTGGCGTTAGGATGATGATTGTTGTGCTGTTGTTTTCATGTGTCGAGCAGTCTTGGTATAGTGATGTCCTCGCATGGTGAACCAAAGTGATTTCTTCCTGTGTTTTGTTTCTGGTGGGGCTGAGTTTTGTTTGTGAGTGGCCTGAGTAACCCAGACCAGTCAAACGTAGTGTAGAGGCCGTGCATGTGTGGCAGCGAAATATATGGACAAATATGTTTGCTGTGATAAATGAATGGCAGTAACAATGAGTACAGAGCCAAGTGTTTTTCTGATAATTCCTTGGAACCTATTCAGAAGTCAGACTAGTTGAAGGACTGTTTCCTGCCTGCTGTTTGTGTGTCATTTTTCAGCTTTGTACGAAGGTGTGCTATGTTGCAGCATAGAGGTACTTGTGGTGTTTCTAACCTTGGGGCTGTGTGAGTAAAACATTAGTAAAAATGTGCTTAAGCAAAACCTGGGCTAGCCAAGGGGGGCCGTGGGCTCCTGCTGCAAGTTGTTTTTCCCTTCAGGTCTCGGTGAGGTTTTCCATGACTGACATAGATGCATATACAGCAGGAAACAGAGCTCAGGGCTGTGAAGCCACTGCAGCCACTAATTATCCCCTCATTTGAATATTTGTGTGCGCGCTTTGTGTCCTCGGTCCCTCTGGGACCACAACTGCAGCGAACCCAGAGTGGCGTCTTGGTGCTCGGGGGCTTGTTTCTGAGGCTCCAGACGCTGAGTGAATAATTGAATTAACAGTGAGAAGCAGAGAAAGGTAATGGTTTATTCCACTGTGTGAGCCCACCTGGACCGAACCAGTGTACAGTCACAGTGATGTGGAAAAATCAGCTCAGAGTCCTGAGGAACGAGTTCACTGCTTTATTAATGCTCATCTTTTTAGTAACCAAGTGGCACCTTCTGCTAAATGTTATGTAATTAATGGTTGTTGTTGTTGCCAATAGTGTTTCTGTCTAATCAGATAATAGATTTGTCAAAGTTAATTTGATTAATTGCTGCCTGAAGCTTATTCACTGTGAGGATTCCCTGTTTTTGCTTTGTTTTATGTAAACAAAAGAAAATGACAATATCGTTTATGAAAAAGAACAAGAAATAGCTCCAGTAGCCTGGGCTGGCGTGATGAAACGTGATCCATCACACTCAAATCAGGTTTTCAATTTAGTTTTGTTCAGTATCGATTCACAGCAACAGTCATCTGAGGTGTAGACCTTAGGGTATCATAGAGAAAACCCCCAAAACCACCTTTGATAAAGCACTTTATGACAATGAGGAGGAAAAAATGATTTTGGTTTGTTTTATGAGGTCTCACCAAGTCTCACACCCAAACTGGAAAACTCAAAAGCCAGTTCTATTTGTTATTGTATACCATCCACCTGCTCCTTATTCAGAGTTTTTAAGTGAATTCTCAGACTTTGTATGATTTAGTGCTTAGTACAGATAAAATAATCATAGTAGGCGACTTTAATATTCATGTACAGTGCCTTGCGAAAGTATTCGGCCCCCTTGAACTTTGCGACCTTTTGCCACATTTCAGGCTTCAAACATAAAGATATAAAACTGTAATTTTTTGTGAAGAATCAACAACAAGTGGGACACAATCATGAAGTGGAACGAAATTTATTGGATATTTCAAACGTTTTTAACAAATAAAAAACTGAAAAACTGGGCGTGCAAAATTATTCAGCCCCCTTAAGTTAATACTTTGTAGCGCCACCTTTTGCTGCGATTACAGCTGTAAGTCGCTTGGGGTATGTCTCTATCAGTTTTGCACATCAAGAGACTGAAATTTTTGCCCATTCCTCCTGCAAAACAGCTCGAGCTCAGTGAGATTGGATGGAGAGCGTTTGTGAACAGCAGTTTTCAGTTCGTTCCACAGATTCTCGATTGGATTCAGGTCTGGACTTTGACTTGGCCATTCTAACACCTGGATATGTTTATTTGTGAACCATTCCATTGTAGATTTTGCTTTATGTTTTGGATCATTGTCTTGTTGGAAGACAAATCTCCGTCCCAGTCTCAGGTCTTTTGCAGACTCCATCAGGTTTCCATCCAGAATGGTCCTGTATTTGGCTCCATCCATCTTCCCATCAATTTTAACCATCTTCCCTGTCCCTGCTGAAGAAAGCAGGCCCAAACCATGATGCTGCCACCACCATGTTTGACAGTGGGGATGGTGTGTTCAGGGTGATGAGCTGTGTTGCTTTTACGCCAAACATAACGTTTTGCATTGTTGCCAAAAAGTTCGATTTTGGTTTCATCTGACCAGAGCACCTTCTTCCACATGTTTGGTGTGTCTCCCAGGTGGCTTGTGGCAAACTTTAAACGACACTTTTTATGGATATCTTTAAGAAATGGCTTTCTTCTTGCCACTCTTCCATAAAGGCCAGATTTGTGCAGTATACGACTGATTGTTGTCCTATGGACAGAGTCTCCCACCTCAGCTGTAGATCTCTGCAGTTCATCCAGAGTGATCATGGGCCTCTTGGCTGCATCTCTGATCAGTCTTCTCCTTGTATGAGCTGAAAGTTTAGAGGGACGGCCAGGTCTTGGTAGATTTGCAGTGGTCTGATACTCCTTCCATTTCAATATTATCACTTGCACAGTGCTCCTTGGGATGTTTAAAGCTTGGGAAATCTTTTTGTATCCAAATCCGGCTTTAAACTTCTCCACAACAGTATCTCGGACCTGCCTGGTGTGTTCCTTGTTCTTCATGATGCTCTCTGCGCTTTAAACAGACCTCTGAGACTATCACAGTGCAGGTGCATTTATACGGAGACTTGATTACACACAGGTGGATTCTATTTATCATCATTAGTCATTTAGGTCAACATTGGATCATTCAGAGATCCTCACTGAACTTCTGGAGAGAGTTTGCTGCACTGAAAGTAAAGGGGCTGAATAATTTTGCACGCCCAATTATTCAGTTTTTTATTTGTTAAAAAAGTTTGAAATATCCAATAAATTAAGCAAAAGGTGTGGCAAAAGGTCGCAAAGTTCAAGGGGGCCGAATACTTTCGCAAGGCACTGTATAAGATGTACAGCATCAACAGTTAAAAGAATGATCAGCACTGACAGTACTAAGGTGTTGGTCAAATAACAACTAGGGTACCAGTAGAACTCAACCCTGGCAAAATTATTCTAACAAATTGTATGTATTTATATCTTTGTATCATAACTCTCTTTATCACAAGCTAATTGCCATTGTCATCATCATCTACATAAAATAAATTCTCCCCCTTTTTCTCTGTCTTATTTATTACCTATACGCTCCTCTTCTTTAAATGCCCATTTATATGCTGACTTTATTAGGTACTGCTAGACCTAGCCACAACGTGCAGATCATATTTTTTTTCCCCTATAAATGTCTCAGGTGTGTATGCTACTCCTCCAAGTTCCTGCTCTCTAATCAGTGTCTGTATCTTTGAAACTGCATTTTATTCATCACTGATTGAGGAAAATAAGAACAACCCCAGGTTTCTTTTCAGCACTGTAGCCAGGCTGACAAAGAGCCACAGTGCTGTTGAGCTTAACATTCCCTTAGATCTCAGCAGCAATGACTTCATGAGCTTCTTTACAAATAAAATCACAACTATTAGAGAAAAAATTAATCAAATCATTCCCACAGCTCTCTCAGATGTTTCTAAAGCCGTTGGACTTGATGACACATCTGTAAGACCTCATTTATACTTAGACTGCTTCTCTCCAATAGATCTCTCTGAGTTGACCTCAACAATTGCTTCATCTAAATCAACATGTCTCTCACCTGGAGTCGTCTTTGACCAGGATATGTCCTTTAAATCACACATAAACCAAGTCTCTAAATCTGCCTTCTTTCACCTGCACAGTATCACCAAAATCAGGAGCATCCTGTCTCAAAGTGATGCTGAAAAACTGGTCCATGCATTTGTTACTTCCAGGCTGGACTACTGTAACTCTTTACTATCAGGATGTCCCAATAATTCCCTAAAAAGCCTCCAGTTAATCCAAAATGCTGCAGCCAGAGTACTGACAGGAACTAGCAAGAGAGATCATATCTCTCCCATATTAGCTTCTCTCCACTGGCTCCCTGTAAAATCCTTCTCCTAACATACAATGCCCTTAATGACAAGGCTCCATCGTATCTTAAAGACCTCGTAGAGCCTTATCATCCTAACAGAGCACTTTGCTCTCAGAGTGCAGGTTTACTTGTGGTTCCTAGAGTCCACAGAAGTAGAATGGGAGGCAGAGCCTTTAGCTATCAAGCTCCTCTCCTATGGAACCAACTCCCAGTCTCAGTTCGGGAGGCGGACACCCTCTCTACCTTTAAGATTAGACTTAAGACGTTCCTTTTTGATAAAGCTTATAGTTAGGGCTGGACCAGGTGACCCTGAGCCTTCCCTTAGCTATGCTGCCATAGGCCTAGGCTGCTGGGGGGGGCATGATTTTCTGAGCACCTCTCCCCTTTCTCTCTCTCTCTCTCATCCATCTATATGCCTCCATTACACATCACTAACTGTGTGTCTCCTCTCTCCCGTAGTGTGTCCTCTCCCTCTCTTTCTCCCTGTACCTTTCTGCAGGTTGCCCTGGCTCAGGAGCTCTACGCCTCTGATGAGCAGTCATCAGCAACATCGGCCTGACCAGTGTTTGATTGTTTGTTGTGTCTTGTTGCTTTTCTTCTTTTGTCTCTCCTCTATCCACTCACCCCAACCGGTCGAGGCAGAAGGCCGCCCACCAAGAGCCGGGGTCTGTCGGAGGTTTCTTCCGTTAAAGGGAGTTTTTCCTCCCCACTGTCGCCAAGTGCTTGCTCAAGGGGGATTTGTTGGGATTTTCCTCTATTATTACAACATCATTAGACCTTATCTTGTAAAGTGTCCTGAGATGACTTTTGTTACGATTTGGTGCCATACTAAATAAATTTGATGTTGTGTAGTGCATGAGAACACATGCACTAACATTAATGTAGTCCTTTGTGCAGATGCGTCTGGAGTCTGGTTCAGGAGCTGCCTGCCGAGTCAGAGATGGCTGTGGTTGACTGAGGTCCAAATTCAGTATGAGGAAGAGCTGCATCACTCAGAAAACCACAGCAGATTCTAGGTACTGCTCACCTTGTTGGTGCACACAGCCGTTTCTGAAAAGTAGAAAGTAGGTATGTTTGCTGATGAGTTCTTTAACTACAAGACCACAGTGTATTTTATGGTGTACTGGTTAAACTGTAAGAGTATGTTTGTTTGTACAATGCAAGTGAAAACTATTACTGTAGGCAGGTCTGTCAGTTTGGTTTACCTTACTGTGAATAATGGGCAGATAACAGCTTTGAAACATTTTCTTTTATTGAGTTCTAGTTTGAGCTAATGTTTTGGTTTAGATGCACATGCTCAGTAGGAAACTGGTCAATACGTATGTGTGGTTATAAGATAAGTACAATCTTTAATAATGAGATTATTATACTCAGTTTGTTCTCCCTGTTTTTTGTTGTTGTAGTGCCATCTTGTGGTTAAAACCAGTGTTTGCTAGAATAGGAAAATCAGATCAAGTTTTAGCTTGTGAGAAAAATTTGTTTTTCATTTGCTATAAAGTATGGTTTGTCTATTTAAAATATTCAGGTTTTTTTTTAAACAAATAGGTTGCTTTTTGTTCTGCATATATTAAAGTGCAAGCTTGTATTTGGCAGATGTGTAAATTGAGCAGTGTAAGTTGTGTTAATGTTTAGACAATGTGAACAATTGTCTGAGTTCAGAATGTTGTCTACATATTTACTTGTCTTGTATGAAAGAAAGGGTGTGCGTGGCTTTGCTAGGGTTGTGTTGTAGGCACAGGTTATGTAACTGGAAAGATATCATTTCGCTATTTGTTTCAGGTGATTTTTAGTGAAGGCATTTATGATATGTACATAGGTTGTCTTTTTGGAATTAGCTGGTAGTTATGACACGTCTTTTATAGCAGTTATCTACTGTGGAAGTGGCAAGTTATTCATGGTTTTAGTGAGTTTAAGTATTGAGCCACTGTGTTTCTTGTAGGTGGCTGCTGGCATCCGAGTGACACTGAAACAGTTGTTACAGGTAAGTTTTCATACTTGGGCACTTGAGCTTCATCTGTTTGGAAGCTGTTCATGTGTACTTTAAGATGTTTACTTTCCTGTGTTGAAGATGAGGCTTTGAGCATTCATTTTCATGTTTAATTGTGTTTATGTCTAGGATATTGTAACTGTATATTATGTTTTATGGTTGACTTGCATATTTTTGTCTTGCACAGGCTTTTCATTGTTGAGCCACCTCGTATCCCTGCTTTGGAGGGTTAAAGACTAAAGTCAGGGATCCGAAAAGCAAAAACCCTCATTGTTTGACATCACTTTGCAATTGTTTTCATAATACAAAAAGCATGCTTGTGAAATGAGACCCTGCCTGTGTATGTCCATGTCAAATAAAAACAATACTGCACCTGCACTGATGCTGCTCTTCAGTGTTCTTCAGGCAGATAGACAGGGGTATCACATGATGGTCTTGAAGACTTGTGTAACTGTGAAGACATAACGAGATAATCAACTAAACCTCAGCTCTGATGCATCTTTCTCCAGTGTTAGGAGGTTCTTCTCCCACTCCTAGGCTATAACCAGAACACAGCAAAGACGTGTACATCACAATTCATACATACCATTAACTGCACACTTTCTTGACAAACAGCTCCTGTGAAACCATTTTTCCTTCATCTGCACCAAGTCTGAAAATACAAATTCAACTTGCAGTTCACACATACTGAGAAAAGTGGAATAAGCGAGTACTAAAATAAAGCTACCTGACTCACCTTCACAACATATGGACTCCCTCTGCTGCCAAAACCTGGGGAGAAAAAAAAAAGTTTCACGCCACAGAACTGATGACAAACCGCTATATGATGATGGCTGCACACAGGATCTCCTGAAGCAAACATCCACCACAGCTGACCAACAAAGACAACAGTAGCTGCAAAAGCACAAAAACCAGGTAACTGGCTTCAGCCAAGTAGAAAGAAACTAACAATGTGCTCTGTAGTCACTTACAGGTGGCCAGTGACTGTGTGAAGCCTTCTCGGGACGAGACAGAGAGCCCTGGAGACGAAGGACAAAACGTCACCGGGCCCAGGTGAGCTGGTTGTCACCATACACTGTTTACTTGTTTTCTCTTCCAGTGTTTAAAGAGTTCAATAAATGTCTTTCACATGCAGTTAAACTTACTATCAAGTCACTGAAATTCTAAACTGTCAAAGTTAAGATTTTACATTGAGTTCAGAATCAGAATCAGCTTTACTGGCCAGCTGTGTTGGACACACAATTTGACTCTGGTACAGGGGTTCTCAATATGTACAGTGGGTACGGAAAGTATTCAGACCCCCTTAAATTTTTC